ACGCCCACGCACTGTTCAGGCACTGGAGGGTGACACCAGGGTGGCGTGCAGCCGTGGTGACACCAGGGTGGTGGTGCCATGGGCTCACTTTGTGGCACGTGCGTAGTCGTGTGGTGATTAACAATTAGGCGGCGGTGAAAATATGGGCACCTGCGGCGTGTAGCCGGTGACACCAGGCGGCGTGTGTGGCGCCATGGGGTTCAGGTGGCGTGTGGCAGCCATGATAATCTGGCGGCGTGCAGTCAATGAGGACACCAGGCGGCGTGCGGAAACATGGGGGGCAACCTGGTGGCAGAAATGATGCGACACCAGGCGGCGTGCGTGCGGCGCTACGTGGGCACCTGGGCGGCGTAATGGAGTGATTAACACAGGCGGCGTGCAGTCGGTGGCGACACCCAGGTGGCGTGTGGTGGTGCTGGCGGGGTTACCAGGGGTGATGGAAATGTGGTGTGACACTCAGGCAGGCCATGGTGATACCAGGCGGTGCGGCGCCATGGGGCACCTGGTGCAGGTGAAATTGAGTGACACCAGGTGGCGTGCGTGCGGTGGCACATGGGGGCTACACCTGCGGCGCAGTGAAATGATGTTTTTATCACCAGTGGCGTGAAATGCATGACCAGGCGGCGTGCGGCGCATGTGGTCACCAGGCGACGTGCAAATGCGGCGTGACACCAGGTGGCGTGCGGCGCCATGTGTTCCGGCGGCGCAAAATGCGGCGATCTGCGGCGTGGCGCTGGCGGCGAAATGCGGCGATTCAGGCGGCGTGCGGTGGTCATGTGGGCACCTGCGTGAAATGCGGCGAACACCAGGCTGCGTGCACACATGCGCGCAGTCTGGCACACCAGGCGGCATGAAATGTGGTGACACCAGGCGGCGTGCGTGGTGCCATGGGGCACCTGCGGCGTGTAGCCTGCGACACCAGGTGGCGTGCGTGTGGCACCATGGAAACCAGGCGTGCGAAGCGGCGACACAGTGGCGTGACATGTGGCACCAGGCGGCGTGCAAGGTGGCATCACTCAGGCGGCGTGTGCGTGGCGCTGGCTGGGGCAATCTGGCGGCAGTCTGGCGCCACTCAGGCGGCGTGCACCGTGGCGGCGTGCGTGCGTGAGCCATGCGATAACACCGGCGGCGTGCAGTCTGGCGACACCAGGCGGCGTGCAAACGTGGCGACACCAGGCGGCAGTGCGTGGCGCTACGATGGGAACCAAGCGGCGTGAAGTCTGGCGGCGGCGTGCGTGGCACCATGGGGGCACCAGGGTGGCGCAAACGTGGTGATTTTCAGGCGGGTGTGTGATCATGTGGGCAACTGCGCATCAATCACAGGCGGCGTGCGGCGCCAGGGTTAACCTTGTCGGCATCAAATGAGCGCGATCACCAGGCGTCCGTGGCGTGAGCACCAGGTGGCGTGAAATGATGCGACACCAGGCGGCGTGCGGCGCTGGGCAACCTGCGGCGTGTCGCGACGTGCAAAATGTAATCCAGGTGGTGGCGCATGGGGTTACCAGGCGACGTGGCGACACCCGTGGTGCCATGAAGCCCTGGCGGTGCGTAAAATGCGTGGGCGACACCAGGGTGCAGTGGCGACGATGGCAACCTATGGCGCGTGAAATGGTGGCGACACCAGGCGGCGTGCGTGGCGCCATGGGGACACCTGCGGCGCAGTCTGGCGACACCAGGCGTGGCGCCAATGGCACGATATATAGGTGGTGCGTGCATGGGGCACCAGGTGGCGCAGTGACACCAGGCGGCGTGGGCGATGATGGTAACCAGGCGGCGTGCAGGCCGGTGGCGGACCAGGCGGCGGTGGCGCCATGGGCACTCTGGCGGTGTGAATCTGGCGATTACCAGGCGGCGTGCGTGCGGCCATGTGGGCACCTGGCGGCGCAGTCTGGCGTGACACCAGGCGGCGTGCGGTGACACATGGGGGCACTGGTGAAATGGGAGTGTGACACTGCGGCGCTACATGGTGACACTAATGGCAGGGTGGCCACCAGGTGGCGTGCGCGCTGGTGCGTGAAATGTGGCGATTGACCAGGGTGGCGTGCGGTGGCGCTCTGAGGCACTTGGCGGTGTGTGGAGGCGACACCAGGTGTGGCCATGATGGGCACCAGGTGCAGAAATGTGCGGACACCAGGCGGCGTGCGTGGCGCCATGATGGGAACCTGGCGGCGTGAAATGCGGTGACACCACAGGCGGCGGCGCATGTGGGCACCTGGCGGCGTGTAAATGCGGCGACACCAGGTGCCGTGCGGCGCCGCGATGGGCACTTTGCGGTGCGAAATGCGGCGACACCAGGCGGCGTGGCGCTGGTGGCACCTGGCGTAGTGACACTGAGGCAGTGCAGTCGTGGCAATATCGCGTGCGGCGCCCTGATGGCACCTGGCGGCGTACGGTGGCGACACCAGGCGGCGGCGTCATGGCGAGCACCGTGGCGTGACACCAGCGGCGTGGCATGGCACCAGGCGTGTGTGCGGCGTTACGTGGCACCAGGTGGCGTGCGTGGCGCCATGATGGCACAGGCGGCGTGCGTGAAATGTATGACGCAGTCGTGGTGACACCAGGCGGCGTGCGTGGTGCCATGAGGCACCATGGCGGCGTAATGGGCGACACCACAGGCGGCGTGCGGTGCGGTTGCCCTGGCGCCACGTGCACGGTGGCGACAACCAGGGTATCCGGTGGCGTCATTGGCGGCGTGAAATGCGGCGATCACCAGGCAGCCTGTGGCGACACCAGGCGGCGTGCGTGCGTACCGTGTATAGCACCAGGCGGCGTCGTGCATTCAGGCGGCGTGGCGCCATGGCACCAGGCGGCGAAACGTGGCGTGACACTGGCGCATCTGGTGGCGTGCCATGTGGTGCGGTGCGCAGCGGTGGCGATACCAGGGTGGCGCCATGGCGATGACCAGGCGGCGTGCGTGGCGCTGAGGACACCTGGCGGCGTGCGAAATGCGGCGACACCCAGGGCGTGCGCGTGGTGCGATAAGCACCAGGCGGCGTGGTGCGTGGCGCCATGAGGAACCACAGGCGGCGTGCGTGGCATGGGCACTCAGGCGGCGTGTAATGCGGTGATCACCAGGTGGCGTGCAATGCGGCGACACCCCAGGCGGCGTGCGTGGCGCTGGATGGGCACCAGGTGGTGAAATGGACACTCAGGCGGTGCGTGCGGCGACTCTGGCGGCAACTGGCGGGAAATGGTGGCAACACAGGCGGCGGAGTGGCCACGAAGGCAATCCAGGCGGCGTACCGTGGTGAATCAGGGCGGCGTGTGGCCGGGCTGGGCACCAGGTGGCGTGCAGACCGTGGCGATTTACCAGGCGGCGTGCGTGGCGCCATGGGGGGCACACGGCGCGTGAAATGCGGCGACACCAGGCAGTGGCGCCATGGGGCACCAGGTGCAGGCCGAGGCGATCACCAGGGCGGCGTAATGCCATGATGACACCAGGGCGGCGTGCAGCCGGCGACACCAGGCGGCGTGCGTGGCGCCATGATGGCACCTGGCGGCGCGTGTGAACGTATGACCAGGCGGCGTGTGCGGCATTACGATGATCACCCAGGGGCGGCGTAAATGCGGCGACACCAGGCGGCGTGCGTGCGTGGCGCTACGACATCAGGCGAAATGTGGCGATACCAGGCGGCGTGCGTGTGCGTGGCGCTAGAGGGCACTTTGGCGGGTAAATGTGGCGATTGACCAGGCGGCGTGCGTGGCAGGCGGCGTGCGTGCGGCACCAGGGCGGGGCCATGGTGATCAGGCGGCGTAACTGTGGCGGCGTGTGTGGCACCATGGGGCACCAGGGTGCGTACGGTGGCGACACCAGGGGTGGCGTGCGGCGGCACATAAATAGGCGGCGTGTACTGTGGCGACAAGGCGGCGTGCGGCGCCATGGGCATTTGCGTGTATCGTGGCGAAATCAGGCGGCGTGCGGTGGCGCCATGGGCCCAGGCGGCGTGTACCGTGGCGACACCAGGCGGCGGAACCGTGGGCACCAGGTGGCGTGCGTAGCCGTGGCGATTGATGGCGGTGCGGCAATGGTGTTACCAGGGCGGTGCGTGCATTGTGGCGACACCAGGCGGCGTGAACCGTGTGGGCAATTGCGGCGAATGTGCGATTTACCAGACGGGTGGCGCCATGTGGCACTTGCGGCGTGCGAACTGTGGCGACACCAGGCGGCGTGCGTGGCACCATGGGGGCAATGCGGCGTAATGAGGTGACAATCGACGGTGGCACTCGGGGTACCGTCATGACACTCAGGTGGTGCGTGGTCAACTGTGGGCACCAGGCGGCGTAAATGCGGGCACCAGGTGGCGTGCGTGGCGCCACGGGGCATCTGGCGTGCGTAACCGTGGCGATCCAGGCGGCGTGCGGCGCCGGGCACCAGGCGGCGTGCGGAAATGGGGTGACACCAGGCGGCGTGCGTGGCACCATGGGGCACCAGGTGACGCAGGCCGGTGACAATTGTGTGCGGCGCTATGCGGCATTTGCGGTGTAGCTGTGGCATTCCAGGCGGCGTGCGGCACCATGGGGGCACCAGGCGGCGTGCAGGCTGTGGCATTTACAGGCGGCGTGGCAACCATGGGGGTTCGGTGTAAATGTGGTGACACTCAGGCGGGTGCGTGCGTGGCACCATGGGGGCACCAGGTGGCGTAAATGCGGCATTGACCAGGCCGTGCGTGCGGCGCCATGGGCACCAGGCGGCGCAGCCGTGGCGACTGCGGCGTGCGTGGCAACTAGGGCACCAGGCGGCGTGCGGTGATTAACGGCGGCGTGCGGCACCATGGTATTGCGCACGATGCGGCGACACCAGGCGGCACCAGGCTGCGTATCGGCGATACCAGGCGGTGCGTGCGGCACCAGGCGACGCAAAATGCGGCGATAATTCAGGTGGCGTGCGTGCGGCACCAATCGGTTGCGTATCGTATGACACCAGGGTGCGTGCGTGCGTGCGGCACCATGGGGCACCAGGGCGGCGTGTAATGTGGCGACACCAGGCTGGTGCGTGCGGCGCCATGTAATATCTGGCGGCAGGTGACACCAGGTGGCGTGTGCGACCATGGGCACCAGGTGACGTGGTAGGCGACACCAGGTGGTGCGGCGCCATGTATACCAGGTGGCGTGCGTACCGTGGTGACACCAGGTGGCGTGTGCGTGGCACCTGGCGGCACCAGGCGGCGTGTAAATGGGCGATTCAGGCGTGCGGCACTCATGGGGACACTGCGGCGTGATCTGCGGCGTGCGGCGTCTGGCGGGGCACATGAGTGCGGTGCGTAATGTGGCGACACCAGGGTGGCGTACTGCGGCGGACACCAGGTGCGGCACCATGATCAGGCGCGGACCGTGGCGAGGCGGCAGGGCGGTGAATGCGGCGACACCAGGCGGCACATGGGCTTCGCGGTGACATGTGGCATATCAGGCGTGGTGTGGCACCGTGGTAACGTGGCGACAAGGGCGGGTGGCCATACCAGGTGGTGTAAGTGGCGTGATGACGGTGTGTGGCACATGTAAATGGTCGTGTGGTAAATGGGTGTGTGGCACATGGGGTAAGGTGCGTGCGAAATGTGGTGATATCAGCTGCGGTGTGTGGCACCATGGGGGCATTCGGTGTGTCAGATGGTGTGGCGTGGACACCAGGCGGCGTAGCCGTGGACATCTCAGATGGCGTGCGGCACCATGGGCAACTCTCAGGGTAATGGCGATACCAGACGTGCGGTGGCACCATAATTGCGGTGCGTAGCCGTGGTGACACCAGCGGCGTGCGGAATGTGGGGGTATTGTGCAGCCGGTGACACTCAGGCGTGTGCGGCACTCATGGGCACAGTGCGGCGTGAAATGTGGCGACACCAGGCGTAGCAGGCGGCGATACAGGGTGGTGCGTGGCGCCATGGGCACCAGGCGGCGTGTACGGTGCGGACACCAGGCGTGTGCATGACACCAGGCGGCGTGGCACCATGGGGCACAGGCGGCGTACGTGGTGATGACCAGGCGGCGTGCGTGGAAATCGTGGTGCGGTGATACCAGGGGGCACCAGGTGCGTGTACTGTGGTGACACCAGGCGGCGTGTAATATGGGACCGGCGGCGTACCGTGGCGACACCAGGCGGCGTGCGTGCGGCACCATGGGGCATGTGCGGCGAATGCGGCGATGGCAGGCGGTGGCGACATCTGGCACAGGTGGTGCGTGCGTGGCGCCATGGGCACCAGGGTGGCGTGCAGTCGTGGCGACACCAGGCGGCGTGCGGCACTATGGGGGCACCCAGGTGGTGCAGCCGTGGCAAGACGGTGGCGTGGATCGGCACCAGGTGGCGGTGGTGACAAATTACAAGCACCAGGCGGCGTGTAGCTGTGGCGACACCAGGCGGCGTGTGCGGCGCTCATGGGCACCAGCGGCGTAATGGCGATAGCAGGCGTGGTGTGTGGCCATCTCAGGCGGCGTGATCACGGGCACCAGGCGGCGAAATGCGCTGAGGCGATCTACCATGGGGCATGTGCGTGAAATGGGCGACACCAGGCGGTAAGGGGCACTGCGGCCGTGGCGACACCAGGCGCGGAAACGCGGCGACTACAGGCGTGGGGCACCAGGCGCGGAATGCGGCGACACCAGGCGGCGTGCAAAGGTGGCGTGACACTACAGGCGGCGGCACTGGCGGGGCATCAGGCGGCGTGTGTAAATGTGGTGACACCCAGATGGTGGCACTCATGGGCACCAGGTGGCGTGCAAAATGTGGCGACACCAGGCGGTGTGTGGCACTACGGGGCAATTCAGGGTGACGCGGCAATGGGTGACACCAGGCGGCGTGTGTGTGTGGTCAGTGAGGGCATTCCAGGTGTACCTGTGGTGACACCAGGTGGCGTGTGCGTGGGCGACAAGGAGTGGCACCAGGTGGCGTGTAGCGTGGTGAAACCAGGTGTGTCGGCAGCCAGGAGGACACTAGGTGGTGTGCAATCGCGGCGATACCAGGTGGTGTGCGGAATAAGGAGGGCAACAGGTGCGCGTGCAAAACGTAGGCGACACTCAGGTGGCGGTGTGTGTGGCGCCATGAATACATCTGGGGCGGCGTCGTGCGTGGCGCCATGAGCGGCACCAGGCGGCGTGCGTAGCCTGGCGATACCAGGCGTGCAGCCAGGGTGACACCAGGTGCGTGGCAAAGAGGCGATCAGGTGGTGCAAATGGTGCTGACAAGGAGAACATGGTGACAACAGGCGGTGAAAAGCAGGCGATAATTGCGGTGTATGGTGATACCAGGGGGGCACAGGCACGTGGCCGGTGGATACCAGGTCGTGAGTGTGGTAGCCAAGGAGTGGCACTGGCGGTAGCAGCGGGCGACACCAGGCGGCGTGGTTAAGTGGCGGCTCAGGCGGCGTGCGTAGTGAGGTGATAACCAGGCGGCGTGCGTGCGGCAACTGATGGGGGCACCAGGGTGTGCGTGGTACTGAGTGCGACACCAGGTGGTGTGCGTGCGGCGGCCTGGCGAATACACTGGCGGTGAAAGACGTGACAATACAGGCAGGCGTGGCAAAGCCATGGGGCACCAGTGGCACCGCGGCAAGATACCAGGCGGTGTGGCGCATGGCAACATCTGGTGCGTGAACCGTGGCGATACCAGGCGGCGCATAAGTGCCACGGGGGCACTAGGTGTGTGGCGATACCAGGCGGCGTGCCACCACCAGTGCAGAAATGAGGCGACACCAGGC